AGTACGCACCCACACTGCGGAGTTCGAACCCAGGACCTTCCGGTTACAAGGCAAGCTCGTATACCATTCAGCCACTGGGACCCATTTCTATGGCTCATGAATTCTATCCCTTACAAACCAACTATAGAAAATTAGTCTGATGCTCGCTAGTGACTTTCTACAGGATGGAGTTTTCTAGAGTACTAGCGAGAAGTCGTGACCAGTGACGTCCACCAGTCACGTGTGAGGATGGATGTCCCACTGATGACATGGGTTGGGGTGGCGCTAGATCACGAGTTGGTAGAAGTTAGAATTCATGAGCTGGCCATTAAATCGGGTCCCAGTGGCTGAATGGTATGCTGAATGGCATGGTATGGTTCTCTAACTGATATCAATCCCCGATCAACTCGTAAAAACCAACTAGATATCAAAAAATAAGTGAGCTTACTAACTAACTAACTTACTAGCTAGCTAATTAGGTGACTAACTAGGTAACTAACTACCCTATTAGCGCACTAAGTAACTGGCTAACTAATTAAGTAACTATGCAACTAACTAACTAGCTGCTTAAGTGACTAATTAACTAACTGGAGAGGTGAGTAGTTGATACACTCACTCAGGGGGGATTCACATTTTATAACTATATAAATGTCTGTAAGCATTAAAATCTTCATTGAAGATATTTAAAATTCTGAGGAATCACTTGTCAAGAAACGTCAGTGTAAGCAACGAAAAGTTTTCTGTGCATGATTGTGGTACATTTTCCGAATATTCAACATCTGACGATTTACTTTCCATTTTTCTAGGTCTAATTCGATATCATAACCTTTCCTATAAGCTCCTATTTCTTTTTTGTAACGAAATTTGTATTCAGGTCATGTAGATTGTCTTGATGTCACACAAAATTGAAGACTTACAAGCGAAAACCGACAAATTGGTCGAAGAAGCAGAGAAGACAGGACTCCAAGTGAACATAGACAAGACGGAGGTCATGAATATAATCAACCAACAACAACAATGACAACAGCAGCAATTTCCAGCGCCAATCAACATCAACGGGAGGGATTTGAAAGAGGTCACTTCATTCACTTATCTAGGGAGCATTGTCTGAACTACAGGAAGTCGGAACGGACGAGGATGTCAAATCGAGCGAGAATCGGGAAGGCGAGAACACACACATTCGTCAACCTGAAACCAATCTGGAAATCTTCGTCACTCAGCCAGCATCAACAACAAAATTCGGTAGGATTTTCAATACAAACGTCAAGTCAGTCAGCTCTTCTATACGGATCAGAAACTCGGTGGGCGGGTTACAAAGAATATTTCCAACAGCCTGTTGCAGACCATTATCAAAAACTGTCTTCGCTGGGTCTATACTGAAGATCAGATGGCCGGGCCAGCAAGAATCACCAATGAGAAGAAACTATGGCTGGGAACAAACAAAACAAGAAGCAATCGCCAACCAACAAATATGCAGGAGAAAGTGGAGATAGATTGGACACTCACTGAGGAGGCCACTGGGTGACGTCGCGCGTTTCAGGTCATTGCTCGAGTGGAACCAGGCCGAAAGGGAAGCAAGCTGCGAGTGGGACGTGGGTGCAAGGGTGACATGGAGGAGATCGTGTGAAGAGGAGTTGAAACAGTATGGACTAACAGGGATGCAAGAGAAAAGTACAGCAGAAGACAGGAGGAAGTGGAGACATGCAGTTGAAGCCCTATGTTCCGCTAGGAACCTAAGGGAACAATAATAATAATAGATTGTCTTGATGAAGAATTTCATACCTTTTCTGTAGATGGTTCCTTCTGTAAATCTCATAGATAATTTTAATTGAAGTCAACTCTACAGACAACTACAGGCAACAATGGACAATACTCCAGCTGGCGACATGAAAATACTAATGGGAGACATGAACGCCAAACTGGGACCAGACAATACGGGAAGGGAACTCATCATGGGTAGAGAAGCTCTAGGAGAAATGAATGAAAACGGAGAACTCTTCGCCGACTTCTGCGCCTTCAACGAACTGGTGATTGGTGGCAGTGTATACAAGCACAAAGATATCCACAAGGCTACATGGGTGTCACCAGACGGGCAAACCAAAAACCAAATCGACTTCATCTCAATCTCAAGGAAGTGGAGGCGCAGCCTACTGGACACAAAAGCAAGAAGAGGAGCAGACGTTGGCTCAGACCACTATCTCGTACAAGGGACAATCCAAATCAAATTAAAAGCTTTCAGGGAATCAGGAGCTGCAGATAGACCACAAGCCAAGTTCAACACTCAAAAGCTGAAGGACCAGGCTACAAAGGACATCTTCATTGCAAGCATAAAGGACAAAGCGAGACACAAATCAACACTAGCGAAAGGTCGGCGTTGAAAAGCACTGGAACAACTTGAAAACGGTGTGGAGCCAAACCTGCATAGAAATTCTAGGCAGAAAAAAGAGACAGGACAAACAGTGGCTCACTACGGACACTTGGAAACTAATAGAAGAGAGAAGGACAGTGAAGCAAAAGATTATCCAGTGCACTGACGAGCAACAAAAACAGGAGCTGAATGCAAGCTACAATACACTGAACAAAAGAGTGAAGAAAAGTGCCAGGGAAGACAAAAGAAAATATTATGAAACCATGGCAAACGAAGCAGAACAAGCTGCAGGCAAAGGAGACCTCGCCACACTCTACCAAACAACTAGGAACCTTTCGGGCAAACGTTCGACACAGATTAAGCCAATAAAGGACGACAATGGAAAGTCAATCACCAAAGAGGTGGAACAGAGAAAGCACTGGGTTGAACACTTCAAAAGACTTCTAAATCGTCCGCCACCTACAACACGTCCAGCAATACCAACAACGGAAGCAGAACTACCAGTGAACACTGACCCCCCGACGAAATCAGAAGTCCTGAATGCAATCAAGATGCTTAAAGCTGGGAAAACACCGGGACCAGATGGAATCCCAGCAGAGGCTTTGAAAATAGACCCAGAGACAACAGCGGACTTGATGACACCACTACTGGAGAAGGTGTGGAAAGAGGGCAAAGTACCCGAGGATTGGAAGAACAGTTACTTATTCAAACTTCCAAAGAAAGGAGACTTAAGTCAATGTAAAAACTGGCGTGGAATTATGCTTCTGTCCATTCCAAGCAAGATACTAAGTCGCATCATCCTGGAGAGAATCAAACAAGCCCTAGATGAAAAACTTCGTCCGGAACAGGCTGGATTCAGGAGAAACAAATCATGTATTGATCAAATCGCCACTCTACGGATCATCATTGAACAAAGCTTGGAATGGCAGTCACCTCTCTATCTCAACTTCATCGACTTTGAAAAGGCCTTCGACAGCGTCGATCGAGAGGTCATTTGGAAACTACTTCGCTACTACGGGGTCCCATCGACAATTATACACCTCATCCAACAGTTATACGACAATGCTGCATGCCAAGTAATCCACAACGGGAAACTTACGGAAGGCAAGGCTGTCTACTATCACCAATGATCTTCCTGATTGCAATTGATTGGATAATGCGACAGACAACGGCAACCAACGAGGGAACAGGCATAAAATGGACTGACACAAAAGACTTGGAGGATCTGGATTTCGCCGATGATATATGTCTGATTTCCCATAAACTGGAAGATATGCAAGTGAAAAGTAACAAGTTGGCAGAAGAAGCATCAAAGATAGGACTTCACGTGAACATAGATAAAACAGAGATAATGAAGATTCCTAGCCAACATCAACAACACCAACAGACCACAATAAGCATAAATGGGAAGAACCTGAAAGAAACAACCTCCTTCACCTACCTGGGAAGCATCGTCTCAACTACAGGCGGAACTGACGAGGACATCAAAGCCAGAATCGGAAAAGCAAGACAAGCTTTCATTACTCTCAAATCTGTGTGGAGGTCAACAGCAATCAGCATCAAAAATAAGATCCGGATTTTCAACTCCAATGTGAAGTCAGTGCTACTATACGGATCAGAGACTTGGCGAGTCATAAAGAGCATCTCAAACAAACTTCAAACCTTCATTAACAACTGTCTCCGCTCAATACTCAAGATCAGATGGCCAGAAAAGATCAGCAACAGGGATCTCTGGGAGCGAACCAATCAGGAACCGATTGTGAAACAAATAGGCAGAAAGAAATGGAGATGGATTGGCCATACGCTGAGGAAACCATCAAGTGACATCACTAGACAAGCCCTCGAGTGGAACCCGAAAGGGAGGCGGCGAGTTGGTCGTCCAAGGGTGACTTGGAGGAGGTCATGCGAGGAGGAGATGAAAGCATGTGGACAGACCTGGAGCAGGGTGAAAAAGTTGTCAGAAAACCGAAGTCAATGGAGGTGCGCAGCTGAAGCCCTATGTTCCTCTAGGAACTAAAGGATACAATAATAATAATAAGGTAGGTCATTTGTCTACAAGATTCAAGTACTAAAAGAATGTGCTTTATATGTTTCAAGTGGCGAATGAGATTTAACATGAAGATAACTTATTTTCTTAGGAATACTGAAATTCCCTGTGCTTTTTTATCGTGTTGTATGGCATTTATTTAGTCTGCTTGGTTGTATGAATCCTTTCCTATCAGATTTTAAAATGGATAAGGTGTCATTCAAACATGTGTCATGAAAATAAATTCCTAAGAAAGTGAAGAGGGACAAATACTTGCTAAATACTTCGTGAATGACCTTTGTTGTAATGATGAAATGCTGACTTACTTAGGAAAGCTTAACTTGAGAAGGTGTTCAAGTTTACTCATTCTTTTATTATTACGAAATGACTTGCATATTTAATTTATCGAAAAAACAACCAATATTTTTTGTGTATATTGTCACCTGTGACACTTAGAACAACTAATACATATTTGTCAGAAAGTTTATTAAGAAACTATCGTCAATATCGTCAATCCATTCTAGAGATTTTTTGAAATCTTTGATATGTATTCAGCAGTACAGAAAATCAATAATGTTTTGATATATTGTATAAATAGCAGTTAAGTTAGATAATGTCATTAGTGAAAACATGAAAAAATTTTTGGTAAATTACAAAAATATTTTGTGTAAACATATTTTCTACAGAGCGTTTTATTTGTACTTGTCGTTGTAGCTGCATGCTTCGACATGGCAAGCGGTAGTCCAGGTATGTCACCTATTGACAATATATATCATATATGTATTAAACAGCTATTAATAATTTATTTAGTACTATTATATTTTTAGTTATTATATTTTGCTGATTTGATAGGACCAAGGAAGAAATAGTTGCATTGGTCGCTAAAGATGTCCCTGAGGCAGATGTTACATCATTATTTTCTTGTAAACAGTATTAGCTTAACACTAAATGCCTACATAGGGAAGCATGATGCAATAGTCATTTGTGTTTTTCTTAGGAAGTAGTTGTAATGACCAAAACCAAGCAAGCAATTGTGTTATCCGAACACAGGAAACAGTTCTCTGAGTCCTAATGTATACCTGACAAAACCTCCTTGAGACACACACATAGTCACGAAAACAAACTTTAAAGACAGCAAAAAGAAGATTACTCCTGTTTGAATCTATGTGTGGTTCTATTCAACAATAATGATATCAAAAACGCAAGATTACGTCAGCGGTGCCATTGATTAGGCAGCTTTTAAGAAAAGGTGACATTCTAATTACAAAGAAAGTATTGCAGAACACAATTAGTCAACCGAAATTCAACCGAAAGAAGTGCTTTAGAATCAAGTAGGATATTCTCAATGAGGTGGGATCAAAAACCCTGTCCACCAGAATCATAAACCAACAATTCCCGCGTACAGTTCAGGGTCAGAATGACCTTGATTCAGTCAAACAACATCACATAGTAAAACAACACATCATCAGTTTGTCGTACAACCACGAAGAAAAGACGAATAATAAGGATCGAGTCAATACATGATACACAAATGTCAAAATAATAATATACACTCGAGGAGAAAAACGCATAATAATTGTAAAATTAGTTAGAACATCCTAATTAGTATCAGGTATTGTGATTAGCTCCTTCAGGGGGGGGGGAATTCCAACAAATTATTCCAATATATTAATGAGTATTTAATTTTTTGCACTTTTCTAAAGTGAATCCGTCTGGAGAATTAAAAGAAGTATCTTTCTGTTTTATTCATTTTTTAGAAAAGGCAAAAGATGATGTATACGCTGATGGTGAGTACATTTCACTGAATATGTAGTGCGAAGACGTTGATCAACGGTAGTAATTACATTGAGCATTATTCTTATTGAGTCGTCATACTAGATTTTCTATAGTTTAATAAATTTCAGTGATATTACACATTCATGTCAAGCATTCAGATGCCGTTCCAGTAGAATGATGAACATGATGACGTAGGTAAATACAGAATGGAGAAATATTCATCAACTCTGTATGAACTAAATTGAAGAGATACAAACGGAACATGCTGAATGGTAAACTTAATCAAAGTATAGAAGTTTGGAAGCACATTTTTGAATCAACATTGAGAATAACAAGTTTACATCATGCTTGAATTATGTAGTCATATAAACCATTGACACACATAAGCAGATTTATACTAAGAAAGAGGTGGAATCATAGTATGGATTAGGAAATAGACTTTGATGCATAGTTTTATGGGCTGGTCCAATTCTGAGTTTGTAAACATTGTTGATTCGTAAAACAAATATGATTAAAGATCATGTCAAAAGAGCAAACAAAACAGTGTTACGAACCACTGAATCTATCGTGTGATTATTCACATTTTCTGGTAATAGATATATTTTATAGCAAATAAGTTTAACAACTTGTGCAAGCGAATTGATTCTACCTAGTCTACTAAAGTTACGAAAAAAGATCAGGCCATAAATAACTGATAAGTATCGGGAAAGCAAGGCAGGCTTTCATTACCCACAAGTCTGTGTGGAGATTAACAGAACTCAGCATCAAAAATAAGATCTGGATTTTCAATTCCAATGTGAAGTCAGTGCTACTCACTATATGGATCAGTGACTTGGCGCGTCATAAAGAGCCCTTCGAACAAACTACAGACCTTCATCAACAGCTGTCTTCGCTCAATACTCAAGATCAGATGGCCGGCTAGAAAAGATCAGCAATTGTAAGAGATATCTGGGAGCAAACCAACCAAGAACCGATTGTGGAACAAATAAGCAGGAAGAAATGGAGATGGATTGGCCATACTCTGAGGAAACCAATAGTGAGTGACATCACTAGACAAGCCCTCGGGTGGAACCCAAAACGGAAGCGGCGAGTTGGTCGTCAGTGTGAGGGTGACTTGGAGGATGTCATGTGAAGAGGAGATGAATGCATGTGGGCAGACTTGGAGCCGGGTGAATACTCTATCAGAGAACCGAAAGCAATGGAGACGTGAGGCTGAAGCCCTATGTTCTTCTAGGAATTAAAAGAAAAAATAATAATAATATAAAACAACTGAAAATACAAAGTAATTCAAAGTATATATGGAGCGATAAGGAAAGAAATAATCAGAAACAAACTTAGTGAGTCCACATCAGAACGTCTTCGTGTTATACACTATTAGAAGAGTCTTGCTTTTTTTAAATATTTTTCATGTGCTTTCAAGTTTCTTTAGCGACTGAACTGATTTTTCGAGGTAGAGTTGCCAGCCTCAAGCCCAGCCTTGGCTCTGTTTCTAGGCTTACAACTGGCTGGAAAACTAGAGAACTAGTAAACTATGCAAGGTCTTTCGACCGCTGATATAATTATTTTGTCCACAATGAAAGCAGAAGTTTTAGTTTATTGACATTCTTCAAACTGTATCATTTGTTTTTCTCGTGTAAGTCTGTTTTAAGGGATGACTATAACAAAAGTTAATAAATTATGTGTGCGTATGATTTCAAATATCACGTTGGTTGTACAGTTTACCGTTGCACACAAAATAGTTGCCAATGTATGATAAAAAAATTAATTTGTGAGTTCACTTTTTCTTATAAACCGTTTTGTTTTTCTACGCTTATAGAAGAGAAAAAGGAAACACCAAAGCCAAGTGAGTCTTTCAACCGTATTTGAATACTGTACATGCCTTATTTGAACCATTTTCAGAAGATTTTCCTAAAAAATAGATATGTGGTAGGGCTGATTTAATAAAAAAATATAACATATTATTTATTTGCTCTTGCGTCGGTGGCACAGCGGTAGAATGCTCGCCAACCACGCAAGCGGTTCGGGGTTCGATCCCCGGCCGACGCACTCTTTTACTTCGCTAAGCCAGTGATAAGACTGGTAAAGAGAAAAGGTTGGGCACGAGGCTAGCAATCCCATTCCGTAAGACTCTACACCTCTGCTACCAAAACTTCAAGCCTCTAGCTTAGAGCCCTATGTTCCACTGGGAACGTAAAGGAATAAAAATGATATTTGCTCAGAGAGAAACACTGACGCAGTGTATCTTAATACATTTAACCAATCATTGTACCAATCGAAAAAAGTTTGCATTATCGTCAGTTTCAAGGGTGAAAAAATATGCTTCTGTGAGCACTCTTTGGTGATTGTATTTATAGCCCTTACCATCTAAAGTTGTGGTGATATCTGTTTTTTCTAGCCGAAATTGTAGACAGCATTTTACGTCAATGTTTACCTTCCGAATCAGGGTCATGAGAAAAAACAATAAGAAAGCTTAACCTTGGGAAAGTCACCAGCCAATCACAGCAGACGTAGCATGTGCATATACGATTTGCAGATATATGGCTTAACTTTCTGAGAATCGGTCACAAGCAGTACAGGATAACCTTCAGTAAGAAAACAACCAATCAGAAGCCGTTGCTTCTCCTCTGACAATAACGCTAACGATAATGTACATAAAAGTCTATCAATGCCTCTTGATTTTCGCAATAAACAATCTGTTGCCTGGCCCTTGTCTTCTGTTGTTACAAAGTAATTTCGTGGATTGACGCTACATATTACTTACTGGTTGATATTAGGTCTTAGATACTACTCATATCAACCAGTAGTTTTAACTCGAAAATAGTAAATTTGATTTAATTTCACTACAGGCAGTACAGTGTAAACATTACTTTCTGTGAAGTATTTATGTCAGCTAATAATTTTATTTATGTACTTATAAAATATGATGGAAAATTCATAAACTTTTATGAAAAATATTTTCACATGACTGTTTAACAGCTCAAAAACCAAAACCCAAACCTGGTAAGAATCGGAGACAATTTGTTCTAATATTCCACTCCATCCTAACTGATTAACATGATTACTAACTGATCAGTTTGGTGGTCACATTTGGGAAATATGATTTTAATACCGTAGAGCAAATTTCATTAGTTACCTTCCAATATGCACTTGTAAAGGTTAAATATTTGCGGAAGTATTCATAAAACTATATTTCAGCCGGTTAATGCAGCGCTCCACACATAAGATTTAGATGTGATGGAGAAGATTTGTAGCTCAGGTGGATAATTGTGATGTGTGTTTGTGTTCTTTGAGCTGGATGGTTTATTTGCGGAGCTTTCATTGCCTTACTAGGCAAATATCTTCAGCTCATTCTTCAATTTGTAATAAGCTTTTTAAAATTGAAGAATGAGCTGAAGATGTTTACTGGTGGGGCAATGAAGATTTTGCAAATAAACCGTCCATCTGAGAGAACATAGCTACATCAAAATGGAGTGTTGTTTGATGGGTACATACAACATACATTTTGAAGTTTTAATAAGATTGTCAAATAATACAATAACAGTCTTTTATTTATGATGAAGGTTTTCTTGTATTTCCCAATGAATGAAAAACAAAACGATATTGTTGGTTTTACTGACGTTTCGCTATTTGATGCGACTGATAGCTTTATCAAAGTATTATTAAACTGGAATTTAAAAAATCCACTTAGCTTATATATAACAAAGAGTTAAGAGGTGAGAAAACAGACTACTTAGGCCAGGTTAAAGGGACACACTGAAAGTCAAAATAAAAATGGTCACTAAACCAAATAACAAAGGTTTTAGTACATCTGTTATGATATCAGAACAAAGTCTACTCACTTGATAATCGTTCGTCTGTCTGGGATCGTTTTTTTGTTGTTTTCAAGTTGGTCATTTGGTAAAGATAACAAAACCAAGTGTAGATTGTTGCATTTGATCAGTGTGTGACATTATAAAAGCAGTGTGGGTTTACATAGTGAACTTGCTAATCACATTCGTGCTGATTTTGTCACTTAATGGGTGAGGGTAGGGCGGTGTTGTAACCAGGTCAAATTCTGTTTTAGTTCATCATCCCTATTCAGGCAATTTGGATTCCATTTGATATGAGGTTCTTCTGATATTAGACGTTATTTGTGATTTCTGAAATGCTTTTTCTGGATGATTTCAATATTGTCTGAATCAATTTTGTGGCCTGATTCTGTAGTGTGTAGACAAGCTATGGCTGATGATTTTTCAAGCTTTTCTAGTTCAACTGGATTTTTCGGTGGTCGAATAGATGCTCTACGGTGTTTATTTCTTCTGATTTTGATTTCTCGAGATGTTTGTCTGATGTAGATCGCATCACATCCGAAGCATTTTATTTTATAGGCACAGTTAGATAGAGAATCTTTAGGGATTTGATCTTTTATATGGACAGGTTTTTTTCGTAGTGTGTATGGTGTTATGAAGAAAACTCTAATGTCGAGCTGATTGAGTACTCTTCTGATATCGTCTGACGTCTCTTCTCTATATGGAATGATGACTGTTGAGGTCCATGTTTTCTGAATGGGTTTTATTTATGTTTTCTTAATAATCAAATAAAACAGCATAATACGTTGAATGGTTTTTCCACAAGAGCACATTTAACGTGTCAGAATCTCTTGATTTAACATCTTATATTTAAGGAAACTTTGTTGAAGATTTACATCATATCATTTGAAATAGATTGTCAACAAAACATACCACATTACCTGGCGACTTCGATTGCTAATGTCCAGTAAGTTACTGGAACGCAAAACACCTGTCTGATAACATTTCTCACAGCACAACTCTCATTCTAGTGGGTTAACCCCCATCTTTTTCAAACTAACATAACTTTAGCGTCCGCCAACCTCCTAATTTTACGTGTATTGTGTATAAGTTCTTAAAAAGTAGTTCTCACACAGATAATAAACTATGGTTTCATTGGTGAGGTATATTTTTTGTTTTGTATTTGCTAATACTCATTGCGATCAATTCTATAATACTGACTATTTTGTTCTTGGTTTTTTGTAGCTGACAAGAAACGAGATAGACGATGTAAGTGCAAATTGAACAAATCTTGTGGATGACATGATTCTCGTTGAAATCTTATAAATAGTTTCTATCAGTGGCAAGATACGATGTCTCCTTAGATCTTTGCATGTAGGTTGACGGTGTGAGGCCTTACCGAATTTTAATGAGAGGTATTAGATAGAAAAGAAACCAAGAATTATGAAACAACTGCCTTGTTATCTCTGCTTAACAATGAATGTATATGTAAGAGAAACTATAATACATATTCATGGCTTGCTCAACAACTCGACTTTATGAAAGTTACATACTAACCCGTATGCAGCTCGTAGAATTTTTTATTCAAGTCTTGGTTTGTAGGGATTCTGTTGATTGGTTACAGGATTTCATTATGAGCTGACATTGGTTAGAGAACCATTGGAAAACCACCTGGAAGTACTGGACAGCTGTTTCGTCCAAGTTCACAAAGTATACACTGAATGTGAAGATTAAATAAGGGTGGTCATTGATGGTAAATTTTTTTGTTCAACTGGCAAAGTGCTACATGAAAATACACCAAACCTACTGCGTAGGTTTCACTCAAGACATTGCCTTAAAAAGCCCAGATAATACTTCCTTCCTTATAGAGATTCTTATCGTCCGCTTTTCGTTGAAATCCTCAATATGCTGACTGAAAGTAATTTAAGTAGTCCATTTATCGTTTCATAAGAACACTAGGTTAGTATCAACAATTCGATATTGAATTTGTACTTTTTTCTATAAACTATTAATCAAGTATTTTAAAGCCTAACTTTCTACATTTTTAAAATAGCATCACAAAGTGGAAAGAAAGGAGTCAAATGTAAGATGAATTCAGTTTTCCTTTTAAATAACAACTTTATGATATTTTGTTACTATTTGTTCAGTATTTGAGGCTGTATTATTTGTGATATCACATAAAAAGCTTGCGTTTTTTGTTTAAATAGGGCGGTTCATTCAGAGCTACCTTTGAAAATATTGGAAAAGGTGAAACTATTTTCATCTCAATTGACTAAAATCTAAAAGCTTCGTTGAATTCTTCATGAAACATTAATAGATAAATCGCATTATTATTATTATTATTGTATCCTTTAGTTCCTAGAGGAACATAGGGCTTCAGCTGCGCACCTCCATTGACTTCGGTTTTCTGACAACTTTTTCACCCTTCTCCAAGTCTGTCCGCATGCTTTCATCTCCTCCTCGCATGACCTCCTCCAAGTCACCCTTGGACGACCAACTCGCCGCCTCCCTTTCGGGTTCCACTCGAGCAATGGCTTGTCTAGTGATGTCACTTGATGGTTTCCTCAGCGTATGGCCAATCCATCTCCATTTCTTTCTGCCTATTTGTTTCACAATCGGTTCCTGATTGGTTCGCTCCCAGAGATCCCTGTTGCTGATCTTTTCTGGCCATCTGATCTTGAGTATTGAGCGGAGACAGTTGTTAATGAAGGTTTGAAGTTTGTTTGAGATGCTCTTTATGACTCGCCAAGTCTCTGATCCGTATAGTAGCACTGACTTCACATTGGAGTTGAAAATCCGGATCTTATTTTTGATACTGAGTGCTGTTGACCTCCACACAGATTTGAGAGTAATGAAAGCTTGTCTTGCTTTTCCGATTCTGGCTTTGATGTCCTCGTCAGTTCCGCCTGTAGTTGAGACGATGCTTCCCAGGTAGGTGAAGGAGGTTGTTTCTTTCAGGTTCTTCCCATTTATGCTTATTGTGGTCTGTTGGTGTTGTTGATTTTGGCTAGGAATCTTCATTATCTCTGTTTTATCTATGTTCACTTGAAGTCCTATCTTTGATGCTTCTTCTGCCAACTTGTTACTTTTCACTTGCATATCTTCCAGTTTATGGGAAATCAGACATATATCATCGGCGAAATCCAGATCCTCCAAGTCTTTTGTGTCAGTCCATTTTATGCCTGTTCCCTCGTTGGTTGCCGTTGTCTGTCGCATTATCCAATCAATTGCAATCAGGAAGATCATTGGTGATAGTAGACAGCCTTGCCTCACTCCCGTCCTCACTTCGAAGGCTTCCGTAAGTTTCCCGTTGTGGATTACTTGGCATGCATCATTGTCGTATAACTGTTGGATGAGGTGTATAATTGTCGATGGGACCCCGTAGTAGCGAAGTAGTTGCCAAATGACCTCTCGATCGACGCTGTCGAAGGCCTTTTCAAAGTCGATGAAGTTGAGATAGAGAGGTGACTGCCATTCCAATCTTTGTTCAATGATGATCCGTAGAGTGGCGATTTGATCAATACATGATTTGTTTCTCCTGAATCCAGCCTGTTCCGGACGAAGTTTTTCATCTAGGGCTTGTTTGATTCTTAGATATTGATCGGAAAAGAATAAGTTAATTGTTAGATTGTACAAATCTGAAGGAAACCGATGAGTCCTAATTGTCATTATTATTTCCTTTAATTCCTTAAGGAACATGGGGTTTCAGCCGCACGTCTCCATTGCTATCGGTTTTCTGATAGAGTATTCACCTGGCTCCATGTCTGCTCACATGCATTCATCTCCGCTTCAGAGGACTTTCTCCAAGACACCCTTTCGCTGACGACCAACTCGCCGTTTCCATTTCGAGTTCCACTCGAGAGCTTGTCTAGTGATGTCACTTGATGGTTTTCTCAGAGTATGGCCATTTCTTCCTGCATATTTGCTCCACAATCGGTTCTTGGTTGGTTTGCTCCCAGATATCTCTTACAATTGCTGATCTTTTCTAGCCGGCCATCTGATCTTGAGTAGTGAGCGAAGACAGCTGTTGATGAAGGTCTGTAGTTTGTTTGAGGTGTTCTCCATGACGCGCCAATTCTCTGATCCGTATAGTAGCACTGACTTCACATTGGAGTTGAATATCCGGATCCCATTTTTTGATTCTGATTGCTGCTGACCTCCACAAAAATAATACCAAAATCATAAACTCACTGACTCGTGCCAGCTTAGACATGTAAATCCATCTATATACACGATTATCGATATTAGTGAGTGTTAGACAGTCACAAAATGGCAAGCAGGTAGTTATAGGTATTATCGGTCAACAAGATAATATCCACAGATTCAGTGTTTGAAGGACAAATAATTGCAATAAGTTCCACAACTTCTTGGCAAGAAATTCCACAGAAATAAGAGTTTTATGTAACTGAGTAAATGTAGCGTGCTAATCGAAAAGTGCGTCAAGGTTGCTACTGTCCGATAAGTTCTGATGAGATATGTATCTACAAGAAATAATAAGTCAAACATTCGTCTCAGTCAAACTTATTTTTCAGAAGATATTGTCAAAGTGGAAGGAAGATGCAGCTATATTTGTGTTTATATCTGTGGCGGCGGTAATTAGGAAAATGTCAAAAACGGAATTTTATTTAGGTTCTTTCTCTAATGTTTCTCTAATTTTGATTGTGCATGTCGGATTACCCTATGTAAAACCCAGTAGTAAGATAGGTTCATGCGCTAAGACCTGAGATACTTCAAAGGATTTATGGCGTTATCAGCTCACCTTAGTAGCCAGCAACAATTCAGATGATTTAAACTGATTCGGTTCTGTGAGATGAGTCAAGCTGAGTACACCGTCTATGATTTGGTGTTTAGATCACTTCGATTGGGATAGTAAACACTACTAGTGAATATGATTAGTATATATTCACTCTTCTCCATCAGTAGCGTATAGTTTTATTCAGAGGATTTTTCTCATATTAATCTTGTAAACTGTAAATTGTAATTTTTAAAATGATTGAATCAGTATAATAATAAACCGCTGTTTAACTGTTATTCACAGCATCTTCACCTGCCAAGAACTTTGGTGAGTTTCCATGAATTATATGTTTTGCTTTAGTAGTTTTAGTTTCACTATCTTCTTGACAGGATACTTTAACGTCAAAACACTTTAATATTTGTTATTAACAAAGTTTTATTTAAGTAATGAGACCAAAAAATAATTCAAGGTATAGCTTTTCACTTGTAGGTATAATTATGAACACCAGAAGATCCGTCCATATCAAATGTCCTCAAATAAAAGGCTAGATGATCACAGCCTAACTGAATCAAGCTCAGGACTGCTTTCCTTAAAATTGTCTGACAAAATGGTTAGCTTCTTTGGCTGCCACACATAAACTCAAGGCTCTGGATTTTGAATATGGAAGAATCTCAGGTGAATTGCCTCGCTGTCTATTGTTCATAAGTGGTGGAGTTATGAATGCCTTGAACTTACCGGATGAAGCTTGAATACTAGTTACTTAATTTTCTACAATTCGGTCGTTCATTATAAAGATCTATGTAAGATGGGAAATATATATATATCTTTTAATCCATTCAACAGTAAATATAATTAATTTGTGGAAATATCGACTAGGTTTAATTTAAAAGCATGTTTCTCGATTTCTACTAATTGTAAATTATGTTTTTTTAAACATTTCAGGAAGTCCAATTCTATTTTTGGTCGCACCAATTATTGCTACAAAGTTTCTATTTTAAAGTATGCTTTCCTAAACATACTTTGTTGGAGAAGTCAGTATGATCAATTTTAGTCCGAATTTGCTGTCTAATATTGTTTCAAACTGCTTTATAAATAAAAAAATTTTCTCATGCTATCTATCAGCTTTTGTATAACAGATTTTTATCATCTGGACAGTTTTAAGGTAGATGCGTTGTCAAGGAACTTAACCCTAAGTTCCTGTTATTTGTGAAGACGCTCCGAACCGATAATTATTACCACTGATTCTCGACTTTAATTCCAAAACACCAGTACTTATAAGAAAGAAGTTGTATTGTTTGGCAGATAAAATCTAGGTTAGTAAATAGTCTGTGAACAAATGTTTTACAGTAAATATAATGTACTTTTATTCGTATTGTTTCGTCTTCTTCCAAATTGTACACGATCGAACCATTCGCGCCTTCGAGTTGCCCGCCAATGGCGACCAAGGTCAATGAACCAGCGTTCAGTGTTCATACTGCTTTACATGCGTTGTTAATCTAGAAGGAGTGTGAGTTAGCTTGTTTTATTGATTTTATGAATAAGTAGGAAATCTGAAGCGAAAATATAGTTACCTCTTTTTGTCAGTCAAATATGTCGGAATCTATAGTGCATAGTTCTGGCATAATATCGCTATGCTTTGAGTATCTGTGAGTGTAGTTAGCAGTAAAAGTTCACTTTGTTCTACCTTTGGAAGTGGATAGAAGATAAATTTAGCACAAATGAATATGTTAAAACACAAGTATAACAATTTCCCCATATGTTTCTGGTCGTAACTTAACGTGACTCTACGCTGAGGTTGAAGAAATATAATTTATTATTAATATAGCCAGGGTGAATTTATTGTTATTATTCATTGCTTGCGTTCAGAGCGGGAAATAAGGCTGAAGCGGCAGATCTACATCGTTCTCAGTTCTCCTGTCACTTTCAACTGGTTGTACAAATGTTGACAAACTTTCATTTTCTCCTCTTTCTCTTTTTCCGTTTTCTTTTTTCTTACATGACTTGCCCCACTCTGATGTAACCACTTTTGTTAAGCATGCTGATAACCTCTCTGTTTCTATGCCCGTCAACTCTAAGTCAGATTGTTCCAAATTAAATAACTTTCTGTTGGAAATTGGTCAGTGGTCCTCTTCAAACGGTCTTAAGCTAAATCCGTCCAAATGTCAGGTAGTCAATTTCACTTTCAGACGAAAAAGTGACCTACAACAACTAGCTAGCTCACATGGTCCCACTATCATTGATGGCACAGAGGTTGAAAATACATCTAATGTCAAGTACCTTGGACTGAGTATTTCCTCTGATCTTTCCTGGTCCTCCCATATCTTGCTAGTTACTAGGAAGATGTTTCGCTTAACGTTCTACACTAGGAAGTTTAGGCAGTCTTTGCTTTCTCAGTTTGTCAATTCTTGTATTCTACCCATCCCTCTTTACTGCTCCCCATTAATCTTTCCTGGATTAATTAAGAAAGACTTTGCTTTGCTGAGAAGGACACTAAAAGCTGTTAGTAGGGCAAGTGGGATATCGTTAAACCCACTGGTTAACACTATTGTGGATAGACATATTATATCATGTAAGAAACTAGCGAATACTATATTGTCAGACTCCGAGCATCCTCTCTACAGGCAGCTGTCTCCTTGCATTACATATGGTAGAACTAGAAGCAGCTGTAGGAGGCTATATGCTAGGACTATCAAGTACAAAAACTCCACAATACCATATCTGGCACAGCTGTTATGTGATGAGAAATCCGTTAGGCATGACACGATCAGCTTACTGCGGCACTCTAACAAATAGTTCTATTAGTTTTTGTTTCCCTTTCTCCGTTACTATTATATTGTTTTTCACATCTTATATCACACACTAATTTTATATTTCATATCCTGTGGTGCATTGTTTAAAATGTAAACGCAACGCTGTTCTTTTTATTTATATATTTTTTCTTCGGTTGTTGCCTTTTGATTGTGAAATCTTATAAAATGTATGAGGTAATTAGATGAAATATTGTAATGCACACAGAAAATTCCATACCTGTACCACAAATACTGTTTGGAATAAAGCTGTTATTATTAATAAATCTCTTTTATTACAATTTCGTTCTCTGAACTTCTCGCCTTGCTCTTGGATTTCTCTTGAAAGCCTTCCGTATGATGTCAACCAGAGGTCTCTTGTTTACTAGTCTGCTTCATGTCAGAGTTCCCGGTTATTTATCATTTCCGTTCAGCTGTCAGTATGCAGCGCCGGTGAGTGTTGATGAAAGTCTGTAGCTCGTTCCAAGACTTGTTACTGTATCGACACACTAAGTTGACATCAGTGTTGAAAATTTGGGTCTTGTTCATTGCTCCAGTTTCTGTGAATCACCACACTGAAATCCAAAATTTAGGACGAATGTCTTTAGATTTCTGGTGCTTGTTCCTGTTAGTCGGATCGACTATCTTTATTATTATTTAAAGTTTTGTCTTCGCTCCTACTTCTGCCAGGTTTTTGATTTTTTTTGTAAATTTTCGAGTTTTTTTACAATTTGAGCGAGAAACCATCTGAGATATCCAGATATTCTAGGGTTTTTCGTCCGAACACCATATGTCTGTCTTCTTGCTTGTCACACAGTCTGCAGCATAATCCAGTTAACCACAGTCGCGAATATCATCAGTGGAAGTAGGCAGCCTTGTCTGATTCAAATCCTTTTACTCTAGACGCTTTGGTGGGCAGATAAAGTGAGTAATAATTCAATATCTTGTCAGACGAATGACCACTAGGCATCACAAAATCTCAATGAAGGCAACTGAGATCTAACGTGAAGCAGGATTATTGCCTGTTCAATAAAACTAGATCATACATTTTATAAATTAATCAGACTACTAGATGTAGAGAGGAGCGCTGTATTGCTTGTTGAGAAAGATATTTTATATAAAATAAATGATTTTGAAATGTGTATCAGAGACATCAGGTTACACATTTGTATTTCTTACAGGCGAAACAAATGTTCGAATATGTATATCAAATGCTTAGCCGTAACGTGTAGGAAGCCCTCGATCCAGGTTTCGTGCGTATCGGCATCCATCAGTAAGACTTAAATACAACCTCAAAGGAAAAAATGCTTCTGCTGAGCACACAAACCAACCGATTTTACAGTAAAGGCGTTATCTTGAGCTTTATGAACCATGAATGTTTCAGCACAATTGATGCACAAAAATGATTAACTGGAAGTTTTCATTTTGTTTGTTTCTTAGTGACTAGTGAATTCTGACGTTCAGGTTTACCAACAATTGCAAGTAAGGATAGCGCCTAAATCCAGGACTTCTTGTTAATTACTTGAAACCTCACTATTGAGTCTACTAGCTTGATGTCTACATTTCAGATGTAACTAGGAGAATTCAGCCAACACTAGGTACTATAAGACATAATAATGGTAGATACTTAGTGATGACGAAAAATACCCATTTATTCATTAGTAAAAACAGAGTTTTTTGTTCAGCAAAGAAATTGCTTTTCAACGACTTCATTTTCAAGCTGTACAGTTGTATTTATACTACAGAAAAAGGTTATTAAGTGGCACCACATAATTTCTGAGTTAATATGCATATATAAGTGATAAGAATAACGATGATTATAATGTTATAGGGGGTAGAGTTGAAGTGGATGGATTACAAAATTATTAAAGATTGTTTTATAAGTGAATTGATATCAAAAAATATTTTTTTTTAATGTCAAGCGTTGTCTAAAAATTTGAAAAATTTGGAGTACGATTATGACAGGAATAAAGATGTGAAGTAAAGTGGAATGAATTCAAGTGGTAAAATAAAATAAAAACTAGAAAGAACATTACTATGACCAAAGTAAAGAAAGCGGTTTGACAAAACGTTTTTGAACACATAATTTAGGATTCTGTTCATGTATAGCTAAAGCTTCGGCTATGCATAAGTAAAGAAAATGTAAACTTTTGGATCGATTCGATTTGGTCATGTATATAACTTTGAAGGATGAATCACGGGTGGCAAAATGACCAGACTCTAACAGGTGATCACAAATAGACGACTTTGCAGTTTTAACGTTCGCCTTTCATTAAACAAACCGTATAGTGTTCAGCTACACGTTTTCTTTCTAGTTTTTGTTTTATATTATTTTATTTTACCACTTGAATTCATTCCACTTCACTTCACACCTTTATTCTTATCGTAATCGTACTCCAAATTTTTCAAATTTTTAGACAACGCTTGACATTAAAAAAAAAATATTTTTTGATATCAATTCACTTATAAAACAATCTTTAATAATTTTGTAATCCATCTACTTCAACTCTACCCCCTATAACATTATAATCATCGTTATTCTTATCACTTATATATGCATATTAACTCAGCAATTATGTGGTGCCACTTAATAACCTTTTTCTGTAATATAAATACGACTATACAGCTTGAAAATGAAGTCGTTGAAAAGCAATTTCTTTGCTGAACAAAAAAAAACGTAGTAATGAGTCAATGGACGTTTTGTCCTATCATTTATTGATTTAAAATTAGCATAGCGAAGCATACACTAACGATAATGATCAATTTATCCTTGTTTATACTTGTTTCATAACAGATATTCATCATAAGGATAATCAGTCAAGATTGATCAGTCATCAATTTTAGTAGAATTGATGATCAAAAAAGAGGAACAATTTATGTCCAATGAATATTAAGTATTTAGCCCAGTTTATAATAAATGTGAAGTATACTTTTGAAATAATCTCTCCTAACTTTTCTATAGTTTGGTTTGTCAGGGTTGGTTATGTTTTTACGAGTTGATTACGGATTGATTTCAGTTAGAGAACCATTGAAAACCAGAGAGTACTGATGGATATCTCACCAATGACAATGGTTAGGGTCTCGCTAAATCACTAGTTGGTAGAAGTTAGAATTCATGAGCCACTGAATCGGATCCCAGTGACTGAATTGTATACGAGCGTGCCTTGTAACCGGAAGGTCCTGGGTTCGAATCCCAGTGGATGCGTACTGCCGATCAATGATTCCCAAACTAGGATGAAACAGCAGCTGTCCAGTACTCCCTGGTTTTCAATGGTTCCTGCGAAATTTTTAGCCATGAAAACACTTCAGAGTAATTTCGGTTGACA